TATACCAACTCATTAAAATTCCTAATCATAAAATATTGCATGTGTCACACAATACTAAATAAAAGTACAGAATTTAAATAAACAATTTATTTAAACCATGGTATGAAATAATAACTTAGATACAAGAATTAAACCATAAATACACACATGCACAAATTTTTGATTTACAAAATTAGACTAGCATAATATTAAAGTGGTGATTTTATCCTGTCCAGAAAAACTTTCAGAGTATATATCTTGCAAATAAAATTATAAATACATTACTTATACAACTCTAAAATTCATATCAATCTACAGGATACTCAATAAACATGTTATGGTTATTTTTCAGAAATTATTTTCCAAAAATAACTTATAAATAATTCTAAACAAATTCCAAGGGTGTTTATGACACAAATTTGTCACATTTCCTTACATTAATTCCATGCTTAAATTTATAGATCAAACCCATAATCTAAAAATTTATCATGAAACTAGACTTCTCAAATTTCAAATTTTAGTTAGAAATTACCAGATTTGGCTTAGTATAGAATTTTAAATAAATTTTCAAATACATGGTAAAATCTGTCTCGCAGTTTCAGATTTAGTTAGAAATTTGTATAAATTCGTAGAAAGCTCAAAAATTGTTACCAAAATTCCTGGACGAACTAGACATCATTATCAACAACTTTGTAGAAGAAATCATCTCAAAATTATGAGTATAAAATTGTCTAAAAATTCGAGTGACATTCTGGCAGATTCAAAATAGACAATTTTCATCACAGTTTCAGATTTAGTTAAAATTTTGTATAAATTCGTAGAAAGCTCAAAAATTGTTACCAAAATTTTCTGGATAAACTAGACATCATTATCAACAACTTTGTAGAAGAAATCATCTCAAAATTTTGAGTATAAAATTATCTAAAAATTCGGGTAACATGCTGGCAGATTCAAAACAGATTATCCTCAACACAGTTTAGACAATGTATCATATGTATATATCTGAAAATTTCAATTATGTAAAAAAAATGAGAGGATTGAGTGGGTCTTCTTACCTAGTAGTAGGATTGAAATGGGTGATGAAATGATAGAAGAATTTGTTTCCTAAACCTTCTTCTCTTCTTCTCCTTCTGCTGAATTCTTCTTCCCTATTTCTTCCTCACCCGTCAAAAGGAATACATGCATGCAAACACTGAAACCTACCCTTCTATGCATGACTATTATGTGCATTATATAGACCTCCGAGGCTAGCTCTCTCTCTCTCTCTCTCTCTCTCTCTCCCTTTCTCTCTCTCTCTCTGCCATTACGTTTCTTCAAGTTCTAAGAATAAGTTTTCCCTAAATTTTATGGTTTCCTAAATTCTAAGAGATGGTAGGTTTGGTAGGAACTGTAGGTTGTTTGCCTACGGTTTGTCTGTTTGTATACATATATATATATATATATATATATTTTATTTTATTTATTTATTTATTTATTTTTTTAACAATAATTATTGAACATCCATAACATTTTTATTCTTAATAAGGTCTTTGTTAGTGATAGAATTGGGTTAATTTAAAAAAACTAATAACTTAATTAATTAATTTATTTTCTTTCAAGAATAATTTAAATATGAGTTTTCACAGCATAAGATAGCAAGAGAGATGCAGAAAATTGATACATAATTTTGGAAAACCTTGATATTGTTTAAGTGATATTTTCAATAGATGAGAAATGATTAAATATACTAAGGTTTTGTTTATTTTGACGTAAAATATTTTCGTCAATTTTTTTTTATTCATTTTTTATTTGTTTGGTAGAACTAATATTTTTAAAGAAAATTTTGAATAATTTTTCAAAAAATGACTTACTATTAAAATTTTTGTAAATTAATTTTTACAAAATTGACTTTCTCACTACTTGTTCAACACTTTTAGCTTTTTTAAATAAGTATCTTATCTCACTTGAAAGTCATAAATGATAAAAGGGGTCACTGCTGTGCTCAAAACACAGTAGTGACTGTGGTTCTTCCATTTGAGGTGTATTATAGCCTTATTTTTATGATCAAAACCGTTCATTTTGTAGGATTTGTTGAGTACTTCATACTTACCAAAAATTATATTAATCGGATATTAATAACTATATGATCGAATTGCATATTGTTTATGCTATTTCTCAAAAGAAAAAATTATTAATTATTTTTTTGGTTATCAATCATATAGTTGTTAATATCCGATTAATATGATTTTTGGTAAGTAGGAAATACTCAATAAGATTATAAAAATAAGGTCATAATACACCTCAAATAGAGGTACCACAGTCACTGTTGTGCTTTGAGCATAGCAGTGACCGCTTATCCACATGTTATTGAATCAAAACTTATCTTTTAGACAATAATTTTTTTTTTTTTTGCTTCCAAATGTCAACCAAATGCCAAAAAACAAAAAAAGAAAAAAATTTTTTTAGTGTAAAATCAATTTATAAGAAAATTATTATTTTTTTTGAATAAAATATTTTACGTCAAAACAAACGAAATCTAAGTGAGATATTAATATCCCAACTCTCTAATCAAGTTGGATCAGTATTGCCGCCAGTTACGTTTTTAGTTTAGAAGCACCAAGTGCAAATTTTCAAATCATGGTTTGGAATTATTGGATAATTATTTAAATAGACGAACAATTATTAAATATTTTTTAAATATTATGTGATATTATTTAAGTTGTATTTCTCGCAAATAAAAACCATAATATAAATGCGTCATTTTTTTTCTTTCTCAATTACCAAACAAAGGTGAATTACCATATCTCATTTACATTTTTTTTCACTATATAATTAATTTGAAATGCTTTGCCTTTATTGTTATTCATAAGAAATTTCATTATATAATTAATTGAAAATTTTATTCCGTTAAATGATTAGGCTTGGAACACCTGGCGTTCATTGTCATCGCACAGCCAATGACAAATAATAACAATATTTTGGATTTGAAACTTTCATTTTGTCATTTCCTGTCCATGAAAGTTGGTATCTCACCTGGCATACAACTTTTGATCATTGCTATTTTAGATGCCGTACAACTTTTAAGAGTTGACCTCAGGAGGGATTTTATCCTCTCTCTCTCTCTCATTTTTGTTTTTTGTTTTTTTTTTTCCTCTCTCACACATGTGCAAATAATGGAAGCTCTCTTAAGAAAATATATGGGAAAAAAATAGAGATATTCCCTAAGGTTTCTCAAAAGACATTTCATCTATTATTAAGTCAAAGAATATAATTATCTATAAAATTAAATATTGTGAGGTCCAATGAAAATGGCAATTCATTTTTGTTAGATTTTTTAAAAAAATTCGTATTATTGTGTCTAAAAATTATTAGTAAAAAAAATTATTTTTCCCCTGAATTTTCAAATCAAAATCTTTGATTTGTTCATTAAATTATGATATTATGCATATCATTGTGTATTGCAATCAATGGTCCATAATTAAATAGAGTGACAGTGGCGGTGATAGAGATAGCTATCATAATAGTGATTGTGATTGTTAGTGGTTGCACACATTAGTGACAACGTTAATTTTTTTTTTCTCCTATAACAACTAACAACAAGATTTTACTAAACTCATATTTTTCTTTAAAAAAATTTGTCAATTAGTAAGATAGAGTATTACAATTATCTTGAGATTTAAATTAATGTGACTTATAAGTTCACAATCAACAACTAAACTCTATTAACCCAACAATGGAGAAAAATAAACAACTGAATTTACAATTAATAAATTCAACTTTATGAGCTCAAAAAAGAGTTTTCACGATGGAGAGACATAAGCAATTAAACAAACCCTATAATAGGAAAGAAATGATCAATTAATATATTTTTTTCCTTGAGTACATACAAGAATGAACAAAAAAACTAGAGTAGACAATTCTCAAAATGTTAAAAATGCGAGTTTTACATTATTTAAGAAGGACACTATTACAATTTTATAAGGAATAAATAATACATAATTATTATATATAGGCATAATAGTATAAATATAAAAAATTTAGCTGAGGCACGTGACCCCCTAGGTCTAAGGTAACTTCATCCCTGGTGACTACAATGATGGTGGTTGTAAATGTGGTCTCATCGAGGAGATTTGAATAGATCAATGTTCATTTCATTATTTTATAATTAATAATTGATTAGAAATATTTTATTTAAATAAAATAAGCTAGAATTATTATGTTTTATATTTTATATTAATTTAATTTTCTTATTTTGTTTAGTAAGAATTAATGTTTTTGTTTTTAAAAAATTTTGACTAGTAAATCAATTTTTGGTGCTCTTATTTTATTTGTAGTTTAATTTGTTGTAAGTGTTCGTTCCATACCCGTAATTTGCATTAGTTGGTATATCAGTGTTAGTGATTTGAGTGTTGATCATGGCGTCAAGAGAAGTACCATGCGGTGGATATGCCACTATTGAAGATGTTATGAAAAATAGAAAGACTGTATATTGAATTGAATGAATGATACAATAGGAGAAGCCTGTATATATAGGCAGAAAGGAAACCTAGATAGGTACAGAAAAAGATAGAGATAGAGAGAGATACAATACAAATAGATAAGAGATATCTATAATAATATACTGCTAACACCCCCCCTCAAGTTCAAGGTGGTAAGTCAGATATCAACTTGAGCTTGGAGAGGAGATCAGAGAAACGGCCTAGAAGATGAGCTTTAGTGAAGAGGTCGGCGGTCTGATCAGCAGAAGTAATAAAGAGAAGACGAACATGGCCACTAGTAACATGCTGTCGTATGAAGTGGCAATCAATCTCAATATGCTTGGTGCGATCATGGAAGACATTGTTATGGGTAATCTGAATAGCACTTTGATTGTCACAATAAAGATTGGTGGTAGCAGAATGAGAAACACCCATGTCAGAAAGAAGCCAACGAAGCCACACAAGCTCCTGAGTAGTGTCAGCAAGAGCACGATACTCAGCCTCGGTACTAGAACGAGCAACAAGGGTTTGTTTCTTGCTACGCTAGGAAATGAGAGAGTTGCCCTAGAAGAAGCAGAACCCAGTAATGGAACGACGATCAGTAGGATCTCCTGCCCAATCGGCATCAGAAAAGGCATGCAACTGTAGAGAAGAGTGAGGGGAGTAGTGAAGACCATGAAATAGAGTTCCTTTGAGATAGCGCAAAATGTGAACCATAGCAGCATAGTGTGTAGAGCGAGGAACAGTCATAAATTGATTAACAATGTGAACAACATAAGCAATATCTGGACGAGTAACTGTGAGATAGACAAGACTACCAACTAGCAGACGATATAAAGTGGCATCTGACAATAGGGGGCCATCAAGAGGTGTAAGACGAGTCTGAGGATCAACTGGAGTAGTGACAGTCTTGCAATCGGTAAGGCTAACACGAGCCAAGAGATCAAAAGTATACTTGGCCTGGGTAAGAAAATAACTAGAGGAATCTTGAGAAATTTCCAAGCCAAGGAAGTAGCTAAGTGCACCCAAATCTTTCATCTCAAACTAGCGATGAAGAAACTGTTTGAGACTAGAAATACCCATTGTGTCATCTCCAGTGATAATCATATCATCCACATAGAGGAGAAGGAGAATAATACCGCGCTCTGTCTTACGAATAAACAAGGAAGAATCATGGGCATTGAAAGAAAAACCAAAGTCACGAATGGTAGAGCTGAACTTGGCAAACCAGGCACGCGGAGCTTGTTTTAAACCATACAAAGCACGGTGGAGTTTGCAAACCTTGTTTGAAGGAACAGAAGAACCAGGAGGGGGTTGCATATAAAATTCCTCAGTGAGATCACCATTGAGGAATGCATTGTTGACATCCATCTGAGAAAGGTGCCAGTGGCGAGCAGCAACAATGGCAAGTAAGCTACGAACTGAAGTAGGACGGGCAACAGGAGCAAATGTTTCCTCATAGTCAATCCTATATTCTTGACTAAATGCCCGGGCGACAAGGCGAGCTTTGTAATGCTCAATGGAACCATCAGAATGAGTTTGATCTTGTAAACCCATTTGCAACTAACAGTGCGCTTTCCAGGAGGAAGATCGACCACATCCCAGGTATGAGTTTGATCGAAAGCCTGCAGTTCATCAGTCATAGCTTGTTGCCAAAGAGGGTTAGAAGAAGCTTCTTGATAAGAAGTAGGTTCATGAGAGCAAAAGGCAGTGGAACCAATAATATAATCACGGAGAAGATCAGAAGGTTGCCTTACCTATGTAGAATGACGCTCAGGTGGAGGAGGAACCTGAATGGAAATCGGTTACGGAGGAACCTCCATCGGAGCTGGAGAAGGTGTAGGGCCATCAGCTGACACAGGATCCTCAGGATGGACGATAGGCGTTGGCGGCTGTGGAAGCATGGGGACAGAATCTGCATCAAATTCATCAGAAAATAGATTTATAGAAAGACCAGTGAAGACTGGTGAGTGGGTGGACGGCGGTAGGTGAAACTTGGAAAGAGTAGAGAACATTTTGTGTTCCTAGAGGACCACATGACGATAAATACGAAGACGCTTGGAGATAGGATCCCAACAATGATACCTTTTATGTTCGATACCATACCCTAGAAAACAACAAAGACGAGAACGTGGTTCGAGTTTAGTGTGTTCATGAGGCTGAAGTAGAACAAAACAAGCAGAACCAAAAACTTTAAGAGTGGTATAGTCAGGAGGAGAACCATACAAGCGCTCGTAAGGAGAAATGTTAGCTATTACAGGGGTGGGGACATGATTGATGGTGTGGATGGTAGTGAGGGCAGCTTCTTCCCAAAATTTTTCAGGACAAGAAGAAGAGACCAGAAGAGCCTGAGTAGTGTCTAGAATATGACGATGCTTTCTTTCAGCTCGTCCATTTTGTTGGGAAGTGCCTGCACAAGATCGATGAGAGAGAGTACCATGAGATCGAAGAAAAGAAAGAAAATTAGAATCCAAGTACTCCTTAGCATTATCAGAACGAAAAAGCTTAATAGTACGAGAAAACTGAGTGCGGACCATAGCAGAGAAATCATAGTAAATCTGTTTAAGTTCAGAGCGATTTTTGAGAAGAAAAAGCCAAGTATAGCGAGAAAAATCATCAATAAAAATCACAAAATATCTGGATCCCCCCATGGTAGGTGTGGGGGAAGGTCCCCAAATATCTGAATGCTCAAGTTCAAAAGGAGCAGTAGAAATAAAATTACTTTTATTAAAAGGTAAGGCAGGTTGTTTAGCAATTTGACAAGATAAATAATCGACATCTTCAAGACGGACACGACCTAACTGACCACTAGAAACTAAAATTTTCAAACGACTAAAAGAGATATGTCCTAAGCGACAATGCCAAAGACGAAAAGAAGACATAGTAGATGCATCAGCAACAGTAGATAATTTGTGCGGACTGTGAAGATGGATAAGCTCGAAGAGACGTCCATGCTTACGGCCTATCCCAAGGATCTTTCTCGTCTGAGGGTCCTGCACCAAACAACCATTAGCAGAGAAAGTAATAGTTAGACCAAGTTCACATAATTGACCAACAGAGATAAGGTTCATTTTAAGAGAAGGAATATGGTAAGCATCAGAAGAGACACAGTGTAAGTAAAGATTTTGCCAATATGACAAACAGACATATGAGAACCATCAGCTGTGTGTATAGTGGGAGCAGAAGAGGATGATGACAAAGAAGAAAAGAGAGTGGAGTTAGAAATCATATGATTTCAGCATGCGGAATCAAAATACCATGAAGAGTTACTTGTGGTTACTGAAAGAGCAGTAGGGAGAGGAGTACCAGATTTGTTGAGCACCTGGTGGATAATGGACTCAACATCATCCATAGAGAAGGAAGGAGTAGAAGAACCCTCAGAGGCAATAGTAGCAGAGCGAGAACCATGGCCAGATTTGGACTGAGACCCAGAACGAGAAGCCCTATTCTTAGATGAAGTAGTGGACGGAGCTCGAGGACAATTGCTTTGGAGATGGCCCGGAGCAGTCTTGTGACAAGCCAAGCAATCGCGAACCTGGTAGTGAACAAGAGAATGATTGGCTGGCAGGCCTTGATTACGACAATAACTGCATATGATGGGCTGTGAAGAGGAGGAATTCTGAGAAGATGGCATAGCAAGAACAGAATCCATGTCTTGAGATCTAAGACTCCCAAAACGAGTCTCCTCTGATAGGAGCTCAGTAATGGCTTGCTCCAAAGTGGGCAAGGGCAAACGATGAAGCAAAGAAGCACGTACAGGCTCAAAAGTGCTATGCAGAGCCATAAGAAACTGTAATAGTCGCTGATGATTCCGATAAGTAATAAAGAGTTGTGTGTCATCAGAATGAGCCCATGGAGGTTTAGAAAGAGCAAGCTGGTCCCAAACAGACGATATTTGAGATAGGAAGTCATTAAGAGACTGACCGGGTGCCCGGCGCATGTGATGAAGAGTCTGCAACAGTTGATACGGATGAGGATGTCTAGTGGTTTGATAACGTTCATTCAAGAAATCCCAAATTGCTTTGGGAGGAGAGACAAGGGAATCATCATCCTGAAAGCGTCCAAATTGAAGATGGATGGAAGGAACTGAGGTAGCTTGGAACCATGTAATAATTTGATAATTCTTACTTTCCCATTCGTCAATATGGTCATCAAATGCAGAGTCCGTCTCATCCTCCTTCTGGTGGGGTTTGGGAAGAGCACCAGTAATGATTTGCCAAAGGCGTTTGCCTTTGATGAAACTAGAGAGAAATTGAGCCCAACTAACATAATTAAACCCATCAAGGATAACAGAAATAGATTGGATGTTCTCTGTACGATCCATAAATGCCAAAACGGAGGGCACCAACAGATTCAGAAGGCTGAAAAACCTTAGGGACAAGTAGGACGGATGGCAGCACTGTGGCTGTGATGATGTCAGCAGCGAGGCAGTGCTGGAGTAGGGCTGATGTTAGCGGCTGTGGGGAGCTGACGTCAGCGGCTGAGAAAATAGGGAAAACGGTTGAGGGAAGCCGGCCGAAAGCCAAGGAGATGCAGCTGAGGCGGAAGCCGATGGACAAGCCGACGGCAGGGCGGCTGAGGCGCTAGGGCGGAAGCCGAGGTCGGCTGATGCGAAAGCCGATGGGAAAGCCGACGCGAAGCAGCTGAGGCTCTGGTGCAGAAAGGCGGTTGAGACGGAAGCCATGGGCAAGCCGAGGGAAGCCGGCTGAGACAACTCGTGTTGGAGTGTGCTGAGAGTAGCGGCGGCGTCAACCGACGCGCTTGTCTTTGGGAGGCGTGTGAGGGCGCGTGGTAACTCTGATGGAGGTGAATCTGGTGGATTTGAATTCTTCGTGAAGAGACGAAGAGGTAGGTATAGTCCAAACGTTGGAACAGAAATGGACTAGATATGCAGAAACCACCAGAAACGGACAGAGGACAGAAACAAGCTGCCAAAGAAAAAAACGAGAGAAAATAAATGCTAGGAAAGAACCCTAGGCTCTGATACCATGTTATGAAAAATAGAGAGACTGAATATTGAATTGAATGAATGATACAATAGGAGAAGCCTGTATATATAGGCAGAAAGGAAACCTAGATAGGTACAGAAAAAGATAGAGATAAGACTAGAAGGAGATAGAGATAGAGAGAAGTACAATATAAATAGATAAGAGATATTTATAATAATATACAGCTAACATAAGAGATGTACGATAGGGCTGCAAGTGAATATAATCACTCGTGAATAGACTCGAGTTCAGTTCGATAAGAGCTCGTTCAAATTTAGTTCATCAAATCTTATTTTGCATTCGAGTTCGAGTTTGAGCTCGTTAGGTTTTTAATAAATAAACTCAAACATTCTAAAGTTCAGATCGTTGACTCTCTTGTTTAATATTTAAATAATGTAAAAATATATATAAAAATAAAATAAATATGTCATTTATATATTTAAAAAATATAAATATAAATAATAGTTAACTATAGATAGCACATTTATATAATAGTGGTAGTAGATATTATTATTTTGATAAAATATTGACTTTTTTTTAGAATATTTATATATATTGTATATAGAATCGTATAATTAAACTTTTAATTGTAACTTTACTCTCATATGCAAGTATGAATTTATAAACTTTTTTGGCTCGTTAAGGCTCGTGAACAGGTTTGAACTCGAATCAAGCCTAAGCCAACTCGGTTTGAGCTCGGTTTGTTAAATTTTTATTGAGTTCGAGCTCGAGTTTGAGTTCGCTAAAATCTTAATAAATAAGTTCAAACATACTAAAATTCGGTTCAGCTCGACTCAATTTATTTGTAGGCCTACGTTCGAGTAAGATGATATTACATGAGATGCCCGATCAAAAAAATAAATCCCAACAGACCAAGATTGCACTTGGAACATTGGCCGACTAAGTAGTCGTCTTGATTGCTGCTAATTGACCCTGCAAACATCCGATTAGCCTACATACTCAAGAAGAGGAAGATGTTAGTCGTCTTGATTGCTGCTAATTGACCCTGCAAACATCCGATTAGCCTACATACTCAAGAAGAGGAAGATG